CAAGTAATAAACATTAGTTTTCCTCAAATGCCATCATCAAAATCATCATGCAAATACACAAATAAGTTGATCAATGTTCCACTTAAGACTATTCAAATGCAACTATAAGCAGGTGGGGTTTTAGCCTCGATTTAGTGGAACTCACTGTTTCAGCATCTTTGCAGTTGTCTGGAAGTTTGCTCCAGATTAGAGGAGCATAGAAGCTGAATGGTGCTTCTCCGTGTTTGGTTCTGAGTCTGACAATGCTGAGTAGACCAGAACCAGGACACCCGAGTGGTCTGTAAGGTTGATATGACAACAGGTCTTTAATGTATCTAGGTGCTAAGCCGGTTGGTGATTTATAATCTATCACTGTAGTAGTAATTAATAAGACTAAAGATAAATCCATGGATGAGCTTCTCAACATCTTGCTGGGACATTAGTTATTTAATCCTAGAAATGTTCTTCAGGTAACAGAAGGCTGACTTTGTAATTGTCTTTGTGTTTCTCTAAAGGTTCAGATCCGAGTCCATCACTACACCCAGATTTCAGGGTGTTGAAGCAGAGACACTTTAATAAGACCACCAGCAGCACCAAATCCAAACACCTCAAGACACATACACACACACATCAGCACACACCCATCAGAAACGTCGAGTCTTGTGGATGGATTTGTAAATTTGATGACTTTGAACCCAGCTCCCATTAGTGTTGGTGCCAAGAATGTTTTCTAATGGTCCATTTACCATTTATGAAAAAAAGACTGGTTTAAAGATCTACCAGTCATTCAGGTCTTGCTTGTTAAAGCTGGAACTGAACATCGACAACACGCTGAAAACAAGACAAACGCATGTGAACCCAAGCGTTCTTGTTTGATGTAGCCGCCTTTAATGATCCGGGCAACGTAATGAGCTACAGTGCCGATTACGGTTATCACTCTGGGGGCTTTCAGACTTTGTAAAACACAAAAAAGGCAGCTTCTTCGTAACTGGGATTCTGAATGCCTAATTGTACGAGCTGAAGAGAACGCAGCACTGGGAGGCGGTGGGGGCTAAATTGCGGTAATAATATCCAATAAAGAAACGATGACGAGTCTTATTACTCTGATTAAATGTCACCCAAGACGCATAGAGGCTCCCACACTTAAGGGCTTACGTGACAAAAACGAGGGGCTGCTCATGGCTGTAAAGAAAATACTGCCGCTTTATGCACTTTTACTTATAATTCAGGTCAAAAACTCCCAACAGATCTCTGAGCAGGGATGAGTTTCTCCAGTTGCTGAGGCTGTGCAAAAAAAAAAAAAATAGAGTTTCCTAACACATCCAGGGGGTCGCTGCAGTCTGAGATAACAATTATACCTACTTCTCGACTTGTGGTGCCCACTAAAACACATGCGTGACCTATTTGGGTCTTGTGGCAATAGAAGCGTTGAGAGACTGAAGGAAACGGTACTGGGGCTCATAAATTACAAAGCAAACCTTCTACCCATGCGGGTTCATGCTCGTTTCTGAATTTCTATCCCCCCCTCATTCAGTGCTTCATTGCTGGCCATCTTTTCGCTTCCAAGCTGCCGTAGTCGATCTACTGTCCCAGATCAGCACAGCAGTAAATTAATGAAGCGTATGACATTGGCAGTAAAAGATGACGTTAATTAGGGATGTTTCTGTGCAGCAATGCACAAGATCTGGGCAAGATCTCCTAAAATATGGACCTGAATGACAGACCAAGAGTATTCAGACATAATGAACTTTTTTGCATTTTTATATTACAATCTTCAATCAAACATTAGGTAACCTTATAGGAAACATACAGTACAACTATGAAAAGTATGCTATATATCCACTGCCAAAAAAAAATCCTTCTGGAAATCCTTAAATTAATAAGTAGAATACATTTTCATGTTTTTTATTCTTAATTTGAATTTTTAGAGAACATTAGTGAACAACCAGAAAGAAAAGGGAAAAACAGCAGGTGTGTTCAGGGGTAGTCCAAGTTATGGAGACATTTAAGACAGGGTTGGGTCATAAAACATAATCCCAAGCTGTGAACATCTCATGGAGCAGTTTAATCCAAACAATGAAAAGACTGTTGCACAGCAGCAAACCTTCCCACACATGCCTGTCGACCTAAACTGACAGCCCTGCGAAAGGAGCAGCAGAGAGCATCTGTTGACAAGAAAAAAAAACTTTTGCTGTCCTCTGCACAAATCTGGCAAGAAGTGCTAAGACTGACGGCGTCAAGTTAGCGACTTGGCCACCCCTATACTGGTCGTAACAGAAGAAACAAAGTCTTATTTAAAGTTTGCCTCAAACGATGTGAGGGGACACAGCAAGGGGGGGACAGAGAGGCTGGTCAGGGTTCATAGGAGCCAAATATATGGTGTCCCTGGAGAGAAAACCTGTTATGAGATGCAAAAGATTTCATCTTCCAGCAGGACGGTTATCTGAAACATACACGCAAGATATCCTGTGGGTTTCAGAAAGTCAAATTTCAGACGTCAAGTCTTTTTAATCCCACCTTAAATGAAATTTAAAAAAATACTATATAAAGGGATGGTTGGGGGATCTTGCTGTGTTACAATCAAGCATAGCAAAAATTGTTATTCTGAGGTCTGTTTGTGGCACTTGGCAGCAGATTTGTGCTTCTCGCACTGCATGTGGTTCTCTACAGCCTTAACCAGCGTTGTACCCAGAATAAAAGTTTTATTGCACAGAATGCCTCTTGTGGGTTGGCAACAGAAGTGAGTCTGTGGTGAAAACAGACGTCATCCAGCAAACCGAAGATAAATTTGTGCTCAGAGGGGTCAACACGTGAGGTGACGTCGCTCCCTCTCCATTCGTTTCCTATGGAATTTGCAACATGAAGCGACGATCATTAGCTAGTGACCGATGACATTCATGGATCTGGAATTGTGCATATGTGCACACAGGTTTATGACACAAGTTGAAAAATGTTCAACTTCGCTATTGTGTCTCTTGTGTTGTTTCACCCCAAGTGGCGAAGACTTTCACCTGTCACTGTTCTTTGTTACTCCCAGTGTGCCTCCACTCACAAAACACAATTAAGATTTCTGAGTAAGACTCAAACTGTTACCAGTCTGAAAATTCCTGAGGAAAAAAAAGTACATATATGAGAATAGTCAAAATTAAATAGTCCCTTCATAACAAAATGCATGATTAAGGTATTTAAACCTGACTTATATTTTTTTAAATGAGTTTAAGACAAATTAAAGGTTTTAAGTTGCATGAATTTAAGACTTTAGAAGACTTTTCGTAGACGTGCAGACATCCTGTACACATGTGAACTTGGTCATTCCTGTTAGTAATCCTCCATCCAAGCTACGTGTCCTTTTTGCAAAAGAAAAAGTGGAAAAACGTCCATCTAGTTTTGCAAAGTTGGTAGACATCCACCAAAAAGCACTTGCAGGTGGGTCTACAAATTATAAAATGCACGCCAAACCCTCACAGAAAATCTTAAAGAAAGTGTGTGGTTGTAGAGGGACAAAATGAAATTCCAGCCAGTAGGGACATGAATCTTATCATACGTTCCAGATGGTTGCCCTAACCCGACTTTCAAACTTCAGCAAAGATAAAAAATCAGGCAGCACAGGCACTCACAGATAACGCATCTCTGCGAGATGCACGCTGATAGCATCTTAGCAGAAAATTTGGCTCCAGGCTTAAGGGATGCACAAAAGGCAACAATGAGCTCATCCTGGATGAAAACTCCTGCCGTTCTCCCCTCATAGCCAACAGAGGAAGAGAGGTGAACGAGAGCAAAGGCTTCCTTCCGCTCACTGTCGTCTGGGAAGCAAATCTCAAAATCCCAGCCAGAGGCAGAAGCAGATCCAGCACCCCATTATGAGCCCGAGAGATGGGAGTGCATTTCACAGCCAAAAAAAAAAATTTAAATCCAGCATTTGTTTGTTGGCCCCCATCAAATCTTGCCTGGGAGTGGCCAGATGACATCATGCCAGCTCTTGCTACAGCAACCGCATGGCAGGCTGCGCGTCTGTGTTTGTATGTCAGTAAGATGGAGGAAGGAGATTGCTGATTGAACTGTAGCCCAGGGATCCAAAAGAGCAAATCACTGATCTGATTAATGTCGCAAGTGGCATGGACAACATCATGTGGAGAACAGAATTACTCCACCAGCGCTAGACTGACGTGGCTTCCTGTGAAGTCAAGGAGGCATCGCTTTAAGAGATCACAGCATAATCCACTTTCTTTTCAACATTTCCTGCATGAGTAGAGAAATGATAGACGGTCATCAGAACGCATTAGTAACACTTGATTGGGAATACTGAATGCGTTTAATGAAGTAGTCATTTACTTTATAATATACACAGAAAATGTGATGCGTGTCTGTTTGTATAATCTATGCTGCCTGAAATTTCTAGAAAGATTGAAGAGGAAAGAAACCTCCAGGAATCCAACACAATGTCAATGAAACCCAGAATGAAAGTGAGTCCAAGTGAACTTAATGAGGCGATGTTTAAACAATGGAGGCAATAGTTGAGAAATCATAATTTTATAAAAAGTCCAGGCATGTTCATTGAGACGGTCGTGGTCCCGGTGTCCTCTGCACACAGAATGAAACAACGCTAGTATTCCTCCATTCAGTGACCAGTGGAAGGTCAGGAACCAAACCATTTCTGAGAACTGTGGCACATTTTTGTGTTTCACTGATCTGACCGACTTCAAGTCTTCCAGCTCAGAGAAATTAAACCACATTTCCCAACTCTTCAGCATTGAGACTTTGCCTCAGTAACTACAAATCTGGCATCACCTTACAACTTTTCTATTGGTTTAAAATCGCTGACTGTGCTGGAAACTCAAGAACATACTGGTCTGTTTGAGAATGTTTTCTCAAAGAAATATCCATCTCAGCAGCTTTCCACCTTTGGCAGACCGCAAAGTGACCTCCTCACATTCTCCAGTATATTTCAACCGACCCATAATCTCTGCTATGTTAAATGTACTAACAACAAAACAGTATGAGTACAATCTTCATGGCATGCCGATTTAGCTACCATGCTTGCTGGTTTACTATGATTTGAATTCTGTGTCTTCTCTGACAAACTGTCACAAACAATCATGCTTTCATAAAATGTTGCTCCACTTTTTGTTTAGACCATTCATTTTAATTTGGTGAGCTGTAATCCTTCTGGCCATTGTTTGCTCAACAGTAGAACTTATTTGGGGCTTTTGCCAATGGTTGGCATTAGCCAAATCTGCCATTTTGGCTCTTTAATCCATTCCAATGGACGTTTTCTGCTTTCTTTTCATCTTTCAGATTTTGCTTTCCATTTAAAGCATTTCACCTCAATTTAGCTCATTAG